AGAGCACGGTCATTCAATAAAAAAATAATTGGAAGCACGGTGTTGTACTAGAAACACATGAAATTAGAATGATGTGATAGACAAGTAAATGAAAGTATGTTGCTATTATCATGTGAAAGTGGGAGGTGTGGTGCGGAATAAAGGATGGATGATTGAAAGTGTTGATAAAGACAAAAAGGAATAATTGGAAAATTCTTGTAGTGAACCCGAGAAGCATTCCTCAAAGGCGTGAAGTTAAACTTCTTGCATACTTGATTGTCAATATTTATTCACATTTTGTCCATATGGTGTTGATATGACGTTCGTGTGGACTTATTTTTTATTTAGTTCTAATTTTATTAAATTTTATGTTTACTTTCATACAAAAAGATAATTAATATTTATATATTATTTAACTGAAAACATAAAGTTGAAAGTGTGAAAGAATAAATCAAAGAACCATATTTGTAACATCCCAATTTTCTAGGCCAAAAATTTCATTTTTAAATAAATACTTCGCAACATAGTTTACCAAAACATTACCAAAGTCATGTCATTTTATAAAAACTGTAACAACGTGTTCGGAAACCATCTCATCATAAGTAATATAAATCAGAGTACAATCCCAGAAACTCAATGCGGAAAACATATGTGTGTGTGTGACGCGTTGCTACACCGCCAACTCCTTCCCCTTAGACGAAGAGGTACCTGAAACCAAAACTGAAACTGTAAGCACAAAGCTTAGTGAGTTCCCCCATCATACACATACCATATAATCACATAGCATACATACTGCCGGGCATTTCTGGGGTGCCCGACCTACCCATGTCAAGCCATTCTGGGGTACTGACCTACCCATGTCAAGCCATTCTGGAGTGCTGACCTACCCATGTCAGGCCGTTCTGGGGTGCCAACTACCCTCCGGTCTATCTCAACCGGCATCGGGGACTATTTCACCCCTACCTCTATCATACAATAACAAAATATAATCATACGGTCAAGCATATCTGGGGTACTGATCTACCCTTCGGTCCTAACGACCAAGTCATGGAAAAACTTTTCCCTGCTACTACCACTAACTCACATAGCATATCACATAAGCCTATCTCGTAAGCATATCTCATAAGCATATCTCATAAGCATATCACATAAGCATATCTCGTAAGCATAACAAGATAATTATCACAAAGACAATTATCTACCAATTACTCTTGTTGGTGGGCCGGCATTGTGGCCTTAGACCCACCCTTACTGGAAGGTAACTCACCTCGAAGTCGTGTAGCGTTTGCACTGTCCTCGGTGTGAAAGTCGGCTCTCCTCGACTCCTCAATCCCTACATGACAACCCTTCTAAGTTATCAATTTGTACCCACAACCCCTTCAAGGGTCAAATTGAATCCAAGTCAAAGTCAAAGTCAAAGTCAAACCCTGGTCAAGTCAACTCTTTGGTTGACCAGACTCGCCGAGTTGGTCTGCCAACTCGCCGAGTCCCTTCATCCACATAATACTACAAACCCGTCCCCACTCGTCGAGTCTAGCAAGAGCTCAACGAGTTCACCTTCAACAACACTTCAGTCAATCTTCAACCGACTCGGCGAGGTCTTCCTTGAACTCGTCGAGTTCATCTTCAGCATATGAATGCGTCCAGTCTATGACTCGCCGAGTTGTAAGAACAACTCGTCGAGTCCATCTTCAAAGACTGAGAGATTGCCTTGGACTCGCTGAGTGTGATCTAGCACTCGTCTAGTCCCATGATTTCCAGGTCCAAGGCAAACCCCTAGCAGGCTGAGCGTTCCTTCCACTCAACCAAAACCATTTCCAGAAAACGTTTTTGGGGAAAAAGCGTCTCGACTCGCCGAGTCACCCAAGTGACTCGCCGAGTCCCTCCTTGTCCAAAACTATAAAGTCGATTTCAGTGGGACTTAATGCATCCAAATCATAGATCGGACCTCCTAGGGTCCCTTTTATACGTAATGTCACGAACTTGATGTCCATGCATGGGGTCTTTGGCTCAAAAAGCCATAAAATATGGTCTACAGGATGCATGGGGTGTTTATGGCAACAAGGTGGGCACCTTTATGCCATAAAGTCCCCCAATAACCCCATATCTGAAGCACAAACTGACTTCCAATACCCAATCTCGAATACAACCTCTCTAGGGCTTAGAAAGATGTAGAAAAAGGCCCAAAATCAAGATCTAGATAATGAATAGACAAGGTTTCAGCTTTATACCTCTAACAAGCTGGAAATATGCTCAAAACTCTGGATCTTCTTATTCCCCCTTGATCTCACAAGCCTTCTACTCTTCGTCAAGATTCAATCACACAAAGTAACACCACAAGGCTCAAGAACACACTAAAAACGGCTAGGGTTTCGAGTTAGGGTTTGCTCTGGACGATGGGGGTTGAGTTGAGGGGTTATAATGTGTTTAAATAGGGTGTAAACCCTCAAATTAGGGTTTCACTCAAACAGCATCTACTCGCTGAGTTGGTCTCCCGACTCGTCGAGTAGACTACTTAAACTTTCCGCGGATCACGACTCTACTCAACGAGTTGGGCCTCCAACTCGTCGAGTCCCAAAGAAAAACATAATAAATACTTGAATTAAAGGCATTCCAGGAATCGGGTGTTATAATATTGTTGTCTTCATGATTTCACCTGTGAAAGCCTTTATCTTATTCACAAAACTTTTGATTAAGATATAATTTAAGGTTTGGGGATGAAGTTAAATCTCAATAGAAGTGGTGGGATAAAGATGAACACAACGATCTTAAAGAAATTTGTGAAACTAAATGATGACAAATCGATGAAGATGATACCCGTAGTTGTTATTTGTTTTCTTTTTGTTCGACTTTAATTACTCTTCACCCTCAAAAAACCATGAAATCAAAAATCCAATACTAATCATGTTCTACATTACGAAATGTAACATAAGTGCAACTGCTATCAAAGTATGATATCTAACGGATTCTCAATTTCACCATTACTAAACCAACGGTTCGGTCTCAAACGAAATTTATTTGTATTAAGCCATTTTTACTACACAGGTCCGGTTTAGTTTCCCATTTTTTAGAGCACCTCTAATTTCAATCTTGTTTTTATATGCTAGAAATATATGAATTTTTCAGGATATCTTATTTCATACAAAACACGGAAAATGGCCACCCCTATGTTGTTGCCAAATTTATTGACATCAGGGACTTAAAAACCACAGCCAAATTACATTGCATTACATAATGGAAAACAAAAAATAAAAAGCAGAAATTAGATGAAATACTACATCTATCTAACTTTCTGTAAACTTGAAATGAACACCACCACCTTCACAGAAACCCGATCTTTGAAGCTATCCAAACGGTGAAAAATTGCATGTCTCCCTCGACGGTTAAGAAGTAAACCACCACATGTTATCCAAATCCAGTATCAAAACCAATTCCCCCACCAACATAAAACCACATACGGAGTTCTTCCCCATCACCTTCATTTTCGCCAATGACGAGTGTTACTTTTGAACCTTCATCCGCGAGACATTTTTTGGTAAGGGGAGGCCCACATAGTCCTGTGTTTCCATCGAATGTTGAAGGTTGAAAAGACCGGAGTTGAGTGCTTATGGGATTCTACCTGACAAGTTATTAAATGACACATCTAGGTCATCCAGTAAAGTCATCATATGAGACTTGCTTCATGGTATCAGCCCTTGAAAATTGTTTCTAGATAAATCCAAAGCCAAAAGTTTTTTTTTTCATAACACTATTTTTTAAATTGTCATGTTTGGCAAATCAAAAAGTAGCTTATAAACTAGATTTTTAGAAAGCTACTTAAACTAGCTTTTCAGGAGTTTTTTTTTTAAATTCTTCCAAATTTACGCTTATTTAATTATGAAAAACCCAATCTTCTAAAAGCTCTTTTATTTCATTTTATATTTTCCAGCTATTTTATCAGCTACTTTTTACCAAAAAACATTTTTATCACATAGCTTATAAGCAAACACCAAGTTTTTCAGCTACTATGTCAAACATAGCTTTAACGTTACTATCTAGTCTGACATGTCAACTTTAACCAGATAAACAAATAATAAATATGACATGATGTCTATGTGGGGCATCCATGTGGCGTTGGTGTGGTGTTGATGTCGACTTTTTTTTATATAATTCTAGTTTTATTAGATTTTAAATTTAGTTTTATATAAAATAATTAACATTTATATCATATTTTATTAAAAATTTAAAATTGAAATTACTCTTGAAAAAAGAAATCATAGAACCATTGCCTTCACCAACATCATATAAATGATTTTATCACCCTCTAACTCCTTCATCTTCACAAAATTAACTTTTGTTTCAGATTTGATTTTTGTTCTTTTTTTTATTATTCAGGGATGAAGATGAAGGTAACGGAGGTGTTGGGATATATAGGAAGACGACAATGATGAAATATTGATGAAGATGGTATCTATGATTGTTGTTGTTTGTTTGATTTTAATTTCCCTTCATCATCAAATCAAAAATTGTGAAACAAAAAAAAAAAAAAAAAAAAAAAAAACTCTAATATAGGTTTCTTGTATTTGATGGGGGAAAGGTTGCATATCTGAAATTTCTTATATGGATTCAAACATTGAGTTTCCAATGTTTCATATATTTGGATTATCCTTTTTTTTTGTTTTGAGTTTTTTTTCTTCATGATTTTGTAACCATTCGCATATTTGGATTAAACAATTGGAGATACTTTATAAATGTATATTTCTAGTAGTTTTTTATGTGTTCAAAGTAAACGGATCATTCAAATTCATTGGCTTCTAATCCAATAGATGAAGTGATATATCAAGTAGATAAATCCAGTAAATGGTTGATTGTGTCGTGAAAACACATTAGATTACAACTAATACCAAAATGCCAATAGTGTGGCCAAATAGTGACATTATCCCTTACATAGATGATAAATAACACAAGTTAAATACTAGACAAATTAACAATCTTGGAAAAAACAAATATATTAAACCTGTCTACTTTTGAGAGATGTATGCTTATAAGATTGGGCTGTGATGTTCTACCACCAAATGATATTCTTTGCAACTCTTGAGTTTCACAGTTTCACCTTTAGAACCGCACTGCCCATCTACATCTTCATCCATCTTTCCGGTTTCTTTTGGTTGGACTCCAAGTGTATGCCTTCTCACACAACGCCTAAGAACCCAAAAGATAGTTTGCAACCTTTTACTCGCCATATGAATAGCAAGTACAATATCATACCAAGTAAAAACTCAAAACTATCTATAATAGCACTAACAAAAATTTCTGCTTTGTTCTTTAATCTAGAATTATCACTTGATTTTCATAATTTACAACCTTGGATAAAGATTTCACAGTTAAATTTGTAACATTAGTAAGTCATATTTTTCATCTTTTAGAAGAACTTGGAAAAAATGCAAGTTCAAACAGTATTGAAAACCTTTTATTCTCTACCGTTTCTTTCAGAAAAACGTGTTCATCTATAGTCATCTAGGGGCCATTTGCTACAAATACAACAGACAACTCAATGATAGAAACTATAAACTCAACAGTAAATTACACTTTCGATTTCCGTTTATAACTTCTTGTGGTGGGGTGGGGGTAATTTTTGTCTGGTCGTTCATTTTCTAATCACCGATGCAAAAAACCAATACTAATCATGTTTTCCATTGCGAAATGTAATGGAAGTGCAATTACTACCAAAGTATGATATCTAATGGATTCTCCGTAACACCATTACTAAACTGGCGGTTCGTATCAAATGAAATCGATTTGTATCAAACTGTTTTTTCCAACCAGTCCGGTTCGGTTTCTGGTTTTTTAGTGCACCAATATATGAATTTTCCTGGATACCTTTTTTCATGCAAAACAGGGAAAATGGCCACCCTTGATGTTGGTGGCAAATTTATTGATATGGGGACTTAAAAACCCAAGCCAAATTACATGTTACATACTGGAAAATAAGAAATTAAAAATAAAAATTAGATAACAAAATATGTCTGTCTAGCTTTTTGCAAACTTGAAACGAACACAACCACCTTGACATAAACCCAATCTTTGATGCTATCAAAAAAGTGAAAAAATGTACGTCTCCCTCGACGGTTGAGAAGTAAAGTGCCACATGCTATCCAAAATCCAGTAGCAAAACCCATGCCCCCACCAATATAAAACCATCTCTCAAGTTCATCTATTTCACCAATGATGGGTAGTAATTCTGATTCTTCATCTCCAGGACACTTTTTGGTAAGGGGAGGTCCACATAGTTGTGCGTTCCCATCATATCTTGAAGCTTCAAAAGATTGGAGTTGAGTGCTGGATGGGATTCTCCCTGACAAGCTGTTAAATGACACGTCAAGGTCATTCAGTAAAGTCATCTGAGACATGCTTGATGGTATCCGTCTTGAAAAATTGTTTCTAGATAAATCCAAAGTCAAAAGCTTTTTCATCTCACCAATTTTCTCTGGAATCTCTCCAAATAGAGCGTTTTTTGACAAGTTCAGGGCAATCAAGTCATGAAGATTGGTGATTTCGTATGGGATTTGTCCTGTTAAATTGTTGCTTGACAGGTCAATGCTCTTTAACAATCTTAGACTGCCAAAGAATTCAAGTTCATCTCCTTGCCACTCGATCATTGCATGGTCAACATATGTCTCAGTTTCATCCATATTCTCACTTATTCCAATTGTATAATACAATTCATCTTGTGAAAATCCTTCTTGAACCATGCTTGTAAGATTACTCAAACATGAGGGGATCGTTCCATGGAGATGGTTCATTGACAAGTCCAGAATTTGCAGATTAGCTAATTGACATAACGGTAAAGGGATGTTTCCAAAGAAGTTGTTTGATCTTAGGATAACAACATACAACTTTGATAAGCTTTCCCCAATCCAGACAGGCACGTTACCAGAAAACTTGTTGGCCCCCAAATTCAACGAGATTAAACTCGTGCAATTTTTCAAAGACAAAGGCAATTCTCCAGATAAGTCGTTCTTGTATAAATACAACGCCTCAAGTTCTATCAAAGATCCAATAGAGGGAGGAAGCCTTCCAAAGAGATTGTTGTGTCCGAGATTAAGAACTTTTAGTTGTTTTAAATGCCACAAACAGTCTGGGAGTTGTCCGCTTAATGAGTTATGAGAGAGGTCAAGAAAGTATAAGAGCCCATCAACAATTTGGCATATAAAGGAGATTCCTCCAGAGAATTTATTTCTGGAAAGATTTAATGATAACAAAGCGGAAGGGACATTAGGTATTGGGCCATGAAAGGTGTTGGAACTCAAATCTATCGCCGACTTCTTGGCAAAATTTGATGATAAATCTGGTATCATTCCACTAATGTTATTGGAAGAGAGATTCATATATATTAAACGAGAAGGCCACATGGCCCAGAAGTCCGGAGGAGTTGTGTCTAAAATTCCAGTATTGGCAAGATCAAGACTGGTAAGATTTTTCAGTGTCTCAATCCATTTGGGGAAGTGAGGCCCTACCTTGCAAGATCTCATATCAAAAAGATTTACATAAGAAAGGTTTGAATTATGAATTGTGGAAGGAACTGTAAGATTATTATAAGAAACATCAAGAATTTCAAGGCTGGGTAGTTCCCACAGTTTCTCACTAATACTTCCATTTAAATGACTACCAGCTATGAACAAACACTTTAGTGATGAAAACTTTTGGATCTCATCAGACAATGACCCTGTAAATTGGCTACCTGGAGCAATCAAGTATTGTAATGAAAGCGATGTGCATCCAGACAAGTTGTTGAGAAAATCAGGAAATTTGACAACAGCAGAGTTCTCAGCGAACTTTAAAATTTCCAAACTAGAGATGTTACCAAGATATTTGGGTATCCCATCTAACATGTTGCTAGAGAGATGAAGTTCAACAAGTTTATTGCTGGTTAATGGGAAAAACCAACTATACATGGATGAGGTGAGATTGTTGCCACCGAGATAAAGGGTATGAATAGATGAAGAAGAAGAGTTGAGAAATGAAGAATATGGATACATGACCTGTGACAGCTCACACCCCTGTAAACTTAAAATTGATAGTTTTGGGAGACTAAGAATTACATTTACCCAGTGATTTTGTTTGGCTAGGGAAATCCCATCAATATGAAGTACCTCCAAATGAGAGAGATGAGACAACCACTCTACCTTTTCAACCCTACAGCCTCCAACATATCTAAGGGAAAGCACTTGCAAGTTGGTGAGGTTTCCAAACTCTGGAGGAATGGTTCCATAAAAAGAGTTCTCGGAAAGGTCAAGGTACCTTAACTCGGTCAAAGAACCAATGACGGTGGGGATGGTTCCATGGAAAGAATTTCCAGAAAGATCAAGACGACTCAAGTAGGTTAAGTTAACCAATGAATGGCTTATCTCACCTCCAAGAACATAGAAATGAATATCAAGCCCTGTGACATGACCTGTTTGGTTGCTGCACGTGATTCCACTCCAATTACAGCAGTCATGTTGGTCAGCTGTCCATGTAGAGAGAGTATCATTGGGGTCATGAAGGGGAGCTTTAAAAAGAAGGAGAGCAAGTCTCTCATTATCCAAACACTTTTTCATATTTCTATCATCTCCTACTTCTCCCACTGCTACCAATTGGCTGGTAGTTGCAGTCACAAGGAGGAGCAAGAGAAATGAGAAAATTATAAAAACACAAGAATTCATAATGTAATGGAAACGAAAATCTTGGTGATTTTTGGTTTGTATTGATGCTTATATGAATTTCCCACATGAGTGTTTATATAGTCTCGACTGTGAAGATGATTCTAATTAGTGGGTGGCCTCCAGTTGGTACTTGTGTGGAACACACAATACTTAATGTCAATGAAATTAGAACCTAACTAAAAGTCAAATTAAAGATGAAGAATTATAATAAACTACCCCAAATTAAACTTGCAAGTCTTGACAATTTGTATTTATTATGTCTATCTTTTCCAACCTTCTGATATTTTCAAAGACTTTAAAGTGATATTGACCAAAACCTTTAGGCAAACATTGAATTGACCCCAAATTTAACAGCAACTGTTTCATAAATCTCGTATTCCCTCTTCTTTATTAAACAAATTATGTTTATGCCCAGATATCCTATCCTAAATGTATTTTATGAAATCGATTAGAAAAGTTTCAGCAAATATCTCAACAGAAACATAAAAATAAACCCACCATTCAACGGAAAAGAAAAAAACGAAATCATACAAAAAAAATGAAAAGAAACGTCATTCAACTACAAAATAGAGAAAAGAGATGAAGAGAGGAAATGTGTTGAGTACCTGTGATAATTTACGTGGTGGAAAACGAAAACCAACAAGATAATAACGGTGAGCGGCGGCTACGACAGTTGGAGACAGAAGCGAGCATTTTCGACATATTTAAAATTTTTTTTTTAACTGCAAATCTATTCTATTCTATTTTACTCCTAAATCTCCACCTATGTCCCTCATAGGACTTGAACCCTCCACTTCAAGGAGGGAGGGCAACGGAAAATTTCATAGTCCTTACAAATATTAATTATTATATTTATATCCTTATCATACTATATTATAAAAGAAACATTTTTTCTTTCACCACATTGATTTGAAACTCCTAAACATTTTTCCTTTCACCACATTCATTTGAAACTCTCATGACTTTTCAATTTCTTTCTACTAATGATTATAAGTGGTTAATAAGATTAAATAAATATCAAACATAAAGTGTAATCATATATAAACTAAAATTCAATATTAAAAGAATATATTTACTTCCTTATAAAGTTATGTTTTTCTAATTTTTTGCATATTATACTTTGGAACAATTTGGACAAAATACTTAAACTGTTAATTTAAATATAACATTCAATGTCAACTTAAATATAAATTTCAGTTCCACTTAAAAAACCCAATGAATATTTTGTGAATAGTTAAAAGTGTTAAATTATAGTGCTAAATGCAAATACTAAATTATAATATAAAAATATTTCCTAAAGATATTTGTATAATCCTTAAAAGATTCGAATAAGTAACTTAAAATAACTTACAATAACAATAGTTAAAAATAACACTATATAAATGATTATATTTTTACCTTTAAAATAAAAAAACAATGTCTGATGTTTTAAATAATTGTAATGATAGAAATTAAAACGTTAATAAAATAAATTTTAAAAAATTAATTAACAATAACAAAAACTATAAATTACATTAAGTCATATATTATATTTAATTTTAGTCATGAGCAGTGTTGCAGAAATCGGCCTTGGCGGCCGATTAATCGCTTGGCGGCCTCGAACCGATTACGATTAGGGTGCTTGGCGGAAATTGGTCAAAATCGGTCAAACTCAGGCTTGGCGGTCTTCGGCGGTCCTCGGCGGTCATAGGCGGGAAATATTTAAAAAATTAAAAAAAATAATAATTTTCAAATATTACACCAAAATTTTAAAATTTTAAAATTTTAAGCTTTCAAATTTTAAAATATTATACTAAAATTTTTTAAAATTTCAAAATTTTAAATTTTAAAATTTCCAAATACTTAATTTTTTAGGAAATATTAATTTTTTAAATAATTTTATTAATAATTTAGGGTCTCCGATTAATCCCCGCCGAGTCTGATTAATCGCTTATCGCCAGTCGACCGCCGAGCGATTTTTACAACCTTGGTCATGAGTAACTCGCGGGTAGAAGTCATTCAAACGGTTGAGATTATACAGTTATAATAGATGTATATATACTAGTATACTACCATATAATTCAAAATAATTAATATAGTATATCAATTTAGTATACAAATTATTATATTAAATTTAACAACGTTATTGTTATATTTAAAAAAACATATATTTGTAAATATTTCAACTATATAGGTGTTTATGCGCAACGTGCGGACATTCGCCTAGTAAAGTTCATAATCACATGTATATACTTTAAACTATAAAGCTCATACGTATATTCTAATTAATAAATTTAATTATGTTTAAATCAATCTTCTATCTCATATCTATTCTAATAAATAAGAGAAAAATTTGCCACATGTTACACTCTAGTTTTTTTTTTGTCACATATCATTTTGTGGTTTTTTTACATTAGTTTTTTTTCACATGACTATTTATGGTTTTTTTTAAGTTTATTAAATTTTACATAGTATTAAAATATAATTATTGTAATAAATATAATAATAAATGAATATCAATCTATTAATGCAATTTTCTTTTTAATTTTAAAATTCCTAAATAAAGTCCAATTAATTTTTTTTTATTTATTTAAATTTAAAAGAGAAATGAACAATTTAATTTTCTTTTAAATGTTTATATGTTTATATTTAACTTTTTTTTAATAAACCGGTATAGTACAACTCATATACTATTGGTTTCAATCAAATAAAATCGTGAATCTATCCCACAAAATCAGCGCAAATCACCACAATAGTTTCTTTCGTCACTGTTCTTCAGCCCTAGCTCTTCCTGTTACTCGATTCATCGATTCAAGCAACTGATTTAAAGAGAAATCTCGATTCATATTGATTTATCGAAAATTGGCTAAATTTATCGATGGTGATGTTCTAGAGCCAGCCTCAAGAAGGTTTCAAGGTAAAATATAGATCCAAGAAATGTAAGGTTTCATTAAAAAATAGATCTAAATTGGTAGCTGTTATGCGAGCTATTGCTTTTGCTGGCCACTACCTTCTCCTCTAACACCACTACTCCACTACCGACTATTTCCTCTCCCTTTCTCTCTAGCTCGAAGTTATCATCTTTCTTAACTTTAATTAGGATTTTAAAACAAAAATATCATATTACAAACCATTCTGCAGCTTGTAAGTTATTGATTATGTGAAACAAAGTAATCATGAGCCATTGTGATTTTCGGATTGATGATTTCTTTTTTCATCCTATCGTGGTGCGTTACTTTGAAGCATAAAATATGTTCATTTTTACATAGTGACATATACAATTGTATTCAACAAGGAAATAATGGTATGTGTGCAGACAAGGTGCTTGATAAAATGCTTGAGAGAAGGGAAGAGCCTGTTCAAGCTATGTTTTTCGGACAATAACGCCATTATATGTTGTTCTTGCCTGTTCTTCTTGGGTTGTGGCAGTTGATTGAAATATGTTCTAGTTCTTGGTTTTCTTTGTGTTTCTTTATTCAATGTTCCTTTTGTGAGATGTAAAAGTACATTCAATATGATATAACTTTTAAAAATAATATGTTAAACCATATAGGTTTACAGATGATTCTTTGAAGATACTTGAAGAAAGAGGAATTTTCATATGTTTTGTCACTAGTAGGAGGTTTGCTTCTGCCTTAAATTGTTTTTTTCTTCTCTAACAGTTTTGGTATTAATGTAAGTAAGAGTTATTATGATGGTGTTCTCTTGGATTTCTTAGGGAATTCGCAGATATGGAATTGATTTTATATGGCTCTTGACTTTGTTTTTATTTTGTATGATATTCAACTGATTCTTGATTATTCTGTATGCTAGGAGTTCATCTGTGTTTGGAACTGGTCTTACGGATATATCTTTGACGTTTTAGTCCTAATGAATCGTTTCTATGAAGTCACCCATTTGCTTGAGGAAATGCCTAAAGGGAGCAAGAGTTTTGTTTTTTTTATCTGTATTCCAATTAAAGCTTCAGGTATATAGTGGTGTAGATAAATTTGTGTATTTCGGGGCTTTTTTGGGTATTCATTATGATCTTCAAACTCTCCTTACTTGCAAGTATTGGTTTATTCAAAGCTTGGGAGTTAGTGACTATCCGTACTTTATGAATTTATTTAAACCTGCAAGAATTTGTAGTTTCATAGTGCTTGTTGGTTTTTAACAAATTCATAAGTTTTATAAATGCCTATACTTTATTAAATCAAATTTTAGTATATGTGTTATGCTCACTCACGTCGTGAAATTGTCAATTTGTCTGTTTGTTTTATTATCAATTACCAAATTTTGTTTCTAATTTGCAATTTGTCTATTTTACTTCTAATGTGAAACAAATTGACGGCTTGACAGAGTTGACTAGATACTAAGTTGTGAGAAAACAAGGAGGGTGTGGTTCGGAGGACATGCATTGTAAGTTTCCTCACATATATTCTTATGTGCATAATTGTTGCAACGGTTTTGATATTGCTATGATTATTATTATGTTTTATAATTTTTTAATATTAGTTTACTTTGTCAACTATTTTTCATGTTGCTAAACAAGTACATTGCCTATTTTGATAGAATACGGAAAGTACATTAACATTTCATGCAAAAAGGTAATGAGTTATCTATGTGATGAGATAATTTTTCAACTATTTTATAATCAAAATCATATTTTATTTTTATTTTTATAACCATATTTCAGTTTGTTACCAACTTTCTATCGAGTTTTGGACAAAATCCAGAACAATATTCGTAAGAATAACAGTAAAATATTGGCAAGTTTTTCCAAGAAATAGCAATGTACATTCATATCTGGGCAAAACAGCTTCCAGATAAGACATGTTACTATGTTTACTCAATTACATACAATGGCATAGAAAGATCTAAAATTAAGATGTTTGAATACATGTAAATGAAACAATGTTGTCATTTCTTGCATTTAACCTTATATTTGAAAGTTTAGTTTGTGCTTTTTAGATCTGTATGGTTTTCAATATCCGACTCATGGTATTTTGTTTACAGGTCTTAGATTTCTATAAGCAGCCCAATTATAGCTATTGCACTTAGGGATAGCTCTTTTGTGTCTGGTTGTCAAGCTACCTACTTGCTGGGACATATTAAAAGTGGCTCAAAGTTCTTGCAGAAACTATAGCTTTTGAAAGTAGACTGATCGAAAGAAGTTCTAAAATTGAAAATGGAGGCAATAGGAACCGATAGTCTTTATGTTTATTTAATGATCTTATAAAATTTTCGGTCTACTATCATGGCTTTGCAACTTTTCAATTAAATTTTACTACGTTAAAAAGGTTTTGCCTTTTTGCTATGAGGACAGTGGAAAAAGTAGTAAAACTTAAAAAATGAGTAATTTATGCAGCTTGGTTAAGCATATATGTAGTTTGTGTAAATTTAATTTATTATTTTTTCAAACAAGAATTTGACATCTAGACTCTAAGGATTTTAATATTTTTGCATCGACGTGCCAAAAAGAGACGTTATTAAGCTTTTTTATTCTTTCTGTTATAAAATCCTATTGCATCCTAATATCAAATACACATTTATAAATTGTATTTGAGAACTCACCTACTTCTGAGTTATGACTACCAAATTGTTTAGTTGGGTATTTAGGTTGTGCTTCTATAACCTAACCAAACCAACACAAGTTTAAGCAATTATTTTTCATTATATATTTTTTAGAGTTTTAATCCACCATATTCCAAGAAACAATAAAAAATAAAAAAATAAAAAAATAAAAAATTAGGCAGGTTTCTTGGTTTTATTTTTCGTTATATATTTTTAGAGTTATTAGATAAACAAAAATTTCAATCAATATGCACAAAAAGAAAATACTATGTTTGATAGATTCCACAAAATATGTCAGTATACACAAATATACATTGCATCGTACGAACTCATGTTCTTATCAAATATCTAAACTTAAAAAACGTGAATCGGATATTCATAACGGTGTACATATTTATTTTAAAACAAAATTATAAACTTACTGAAAAAGTTTCTATCTTTATAGTTAATAATTTTTTGTATTTGATTAGTCCTTCCGATTTCGAATTATATACATTGTTTTTCTTTCTTAACCGTTATTTCCACTGGTTTAAAACTAGTTTAATTATAAAAACATATTTAACAACCTAAATCAAAGATGATTGTAACAAATTCCCTTTGCAAAATAACAATAAGAATTAAATAGCTTTTCTCCTCTTCTGTTCTGTATACAGACTTTGCGTTTTTTCTTCCTATTTATTCCTTCTTCTAAACCTACTGATGTTATGTGTTTTGTTTCAAATTCTTCTTGCTTTTGTGCCTTGATATTCTACTAGATATTGACAAATCGCATACTGGCTTAGGTATATTTTTAGTTCAACAATTCGCTGTAAATTCCACTCCATATGTATGTGGAAGCTAAGATTTTGAATTGATGTGAATCTTGGTTCGTTTCAACTCCAACACTATATTTTTATCTTGATTTTGGTATTTTGTTTAATTTTCGTCAATTTTTGTGGAGCTTAATGTTCAATATAGATATTGAAGTGAAATTTTATTAAAATTCGTATATAATTCGAAGTTGAATGAATCTGTTTCACAATCGAAATTAAACGGAAACATTATCGCAATGGAAGGAGAAATACAAAAGTTGATGAATTTCTTTGACCGAGGATATTGTAATTAATTATCGCTAAAATGCAAAATTAGGGGTTTTAGTTATCACTTGTGAATCTTATAGGGTGTTTCGCATTACCTTTTTGACTTTTAATTTTTCCAAAAAGTTACAAAATACCAAAAAATGTTTGGAAAATACAAAAGTTCTTTTTAAAGTAACTTTTTGTAAAGAAGAAAAAGATGGGCTTTCAAAAGTCAGGAAAGTGTGACTTTTTGTGACTTTTAGCCTTTTAAAAGGTAAATTACACTCAAAAGTCAAGAAATGCAACCCAAACATTTTTTAAAAACAACTTTTGGTTTTGCCTCTTGAAAAGCTAAAGTCAAAAAGAACTTTTACAAAACGAACTTTTGAGCTTAAAAAGTAATCCCAAACACCCCCTTAGTATTCATTGTGTAATATTGTTCGGTCTTTTCAAACTTTGCACAAATTGGATATCATCCTCGCATATCCAATCAATGGAAATCAATGCGGCCTACTAAGCTGAGATATCATAAAAAGGGGAATTAAATTCAAAAGTGAGGTTCAAATTTAGAATCAGATTTTAAAATATAAGCTACTGGAGCTAAGAAGAAGAAGAAGAAGAAGATATAGGAATTGATGAAAAAAGGGAACAAAATTATAATATGCCAATTTTGATATCCATCAAGAACACAGACTTAGGTAAAACCAAAATGGTTAATATGAAGAGTATTATGTACAAAAGAGAAGAGCACCCTAAAATCACCAATGGTGGAACTAGATAAGCACAAGTACAACTTGTGACATGAACAATTTGGTGACAAAAGCTGGAAGTTACTCATTATATTGTTAAGGGTAAAATGGTCTCAAAAGGAGAAGTGTACACATAACTCACGAAGTGATGACACTGCAAGTTGTGAAGAATCAAGAAAGAGAAAAAGATGTAAAGGAAAGGCTACTGGTGTCATTTTGAAACCAAACACATAGCATTGATAGGTTTAGAAAAAGGAATAAATAGGAAGAAAAACACAAAGTCTGTAGCTTTTCAATAGGAAGATGTGTGCAGTAGAACAGAAGAGGAGATAAACTAAACACAGTTGAAGCTTTTCAATATTAAAAGGATTAAATCCTAAGGAATTTATTTAATTCTAATTGTTAATTTGAAATGGGTATTTTGGTACTATCGTCTTTGATTTGGTTTTTAAATATGTTTTTAATAATTAAATTGACTTAAACGTAATTAAAAAATAAATTAGGATATACATGTGAAATTTATAGTTTAAGAAGGATATACATGTAATTACGAACTTTTGAATGATATAAAGGTAATAATTAATATTTGTAAGGACATATATGATATTTTTCAATGGAGGTATTCACGAAAATAATATATTGGTTTTTTATATGAAAGTTTTTTTCAATATATATTTTATCATGAAATAATAGTCTTGAAATAATGATAAGTGTCTTGAAATGTTATTAATTCTATCAAAATGTGACACTTATCACCATTTGACATGGTTCAGAGGATAAGTAGAAATAAAAGGTGGGGGATATTTAATTCTCTACTTAAAAATACCTAAATTTATAAAGTTTATCTAGAAATATTTTATTAGAAAAAAACATCATTAATTTTTGAGTAAAATACAGTTATGGTCTTTGTGGTTTGTACGCAACACATGCCATAATTACATAGATAAATAGCATACAAACTAGTCTTCGGGCCCCGCCCGACATTGGGTCGTACCCAACAATCATAAAACATATTCAAATAACTAACATACAATATACTCATCAGGCCCTGCCTAGCATCGGGCCCAGCCCGACATCGAGCCCCGCTCGGTAAACATAAAACACATAACATATGCAAGACTCACGCAGACAACAAGAATACTACACATAACAAATTATGGGTCGACATTGGTGCCTTCGACGCGCTAAACATAGTGAGGAGACTCACCTCGCACTGCAGAATCACACGGACGATCCCTAGCTGCTGGCAGACAGATCCGCGAACTATCAACATCAAAACAACACCCAATTAACAATTAGGTCACAATCCATAATCAATAAATCCATACTTGGGTTAAAAAGACCATTTTACCCCTAACCTAGCTTGGTCCAAGATTGAGGCCCAAACTTACACATTTAAGGCCCAAAAGCCAAATAATCAACCAAATCCCAATTATGGACCAATTTTCAAAATTGGGCCCAAACCCCTTACATGGGCCTTACCCTAAAGCCCAACCAAAAATTCTTAGTCCAAGACACTCATACTCAGATGGCCCATTAAGAACTCAAACACCCAAGCCCAAAAAGGAAGCCTAACATGAAGCCCACAAGCAAAAACCCTCTTGACTGAGTACGCAGGGCGTACTCAGTTGTACACTAAGCGTACATGCAATTTAGCTTGTACGCTGCACGTACAGACTGGTACGCCCAACCTACTCATCCATTAAGCCACGAATTCCATTAAGCACTTAATGCTCAAGATCATGAGTCCAAACCACAGATCTACTTCTTAAAGAACATCTAGACCCATAAAGTCATTGACTTGATGACTTTGCATGCCTCAAAAGAACCCAACATTAACTTAATGCATTAAACTTTCACCAAATGGACACCATCTCATACATGAGGGGTTCCAAACCCTAAATGAGGCAACTTTATGCATCTAGAGCTTCATAAACATCAAGAGTGGCAACTCATAGCTCCTGGAGTGGTACTAAACCACCGGATCTCATTCTTGGGATCAAAATGAATGAAAAACTCATACCACATATATCTAAGCTAACCATGAACATGGTCAAAGCTTTTTACCTTAAACTGTTGGATTAAGTGTCTAAGCCCATAACTATAATTGGTATGTACTTGACCCGAGAGTAGCATGGTCCATTTGGGTTGCATATCACCTGGATAATTTGTTAGGATGGACTTTTGAGAAAGTGTTATTTATGATTTATTAATATATTATAAGTTCTAATATATTAATATGAAATCATATGATTTAATTAGTATTTATCAAGAATTAGTTTGGAATTAATTTAGTGATCAAAAGAGACTAATTAAATCCATGGGGACTAATTATGGTAATTAGTGAAATATATGGATTAGGCTATTGATCCATGTTGGATTAATTTTATGTATGGATACATAAAGAGTTGGGCCACATGAACCATGGATCATAAACCCATGGGTATGGGTTAGGTTAACCCATGACCTTTAAAATCCTACATATAAATATGTTAATCCATAGCCAAAATCACCAACTATGTTCTTGGAGTTCATATGGACGATTTGGTGTGTAAGCATACTCTCTCAAGTCATCTAATTGTTTAAGGGTGTGTTGTGATTCCATTTGAGGCATTCATACTATTGGTGCTAAGTTCTTAAAGGCCAAATACAACAAGTTCTACAAGCTACATAAAGAGGTAAACTCCTAACTAGTATTTTATGTTTTTTATATCAATTGTATGCTAGTTGTAGGCTGAATGCTTTGGAAACAATATTGCATGTATAATTAGAGAAAACATAGATCAAAGGCATTTAGGGTTGTATGTGCACCATAGGATGTTGTAGTATACAAAACCCAA